GGCAGAGGAAGATGTGTTCGACCTGCAGGAGCAGGACGTGGTTGTGCGGTGCCAGCACGTGGGCGAGGAAGCCGCCGTCGACGCACTGCCTCTCGAGCCGTTGCAGGGTGTTGGCCGCTGCGGTATCGGTGGTGGCTTCGGTGGTTGCCTCGTTGCCCCCGGTGGCGGCCGTGATGGCCACGAGCACGACCAGCAGTTCCAGGCGCATTGCCTCTCTCGCCCCGCCTCCCCCGTCGCAACTGAGGATGTGTCGTTGGACGCTACGAAGCACCTTTCACCCTTCCTCTGCCCTGCGCCTTGGCCGGTGCCGAGGCGAAACGGATCGACCACTCAGCTACTTTCCTGTTTGAATTGCGTCTGCCGCACGGGTTTTCCCCCTCCCGCTCCTGCTCGACTGTTTAGCTGTACTGTACGGGGCCCACCACCGCCTTTCCCACGCGCGATTTGACCCCTGGCTACGAGCGAAAACGATCGAAAAATGAGATCATCTACCTTATTATTGATTTTGAGAAGATGAGGTCTTTAGTTTTATGCTTTGTAGCATTTGTTTTTTAACCCGAGAGACTTTGCTTAGTGTTTCATTAATATATATTGAGATTTCTGTTTGAGATATATGCGGCCCACCTAACCTCCCGTTTCCCATGTGCTGTGCACTAGTGATGTTTAATTGATGTTTCCGAGCCTTTATCTATAATGTGTCACATTTTAACATGCTTCGGTGAGTGAGACTATGATTTTTATATTTTGACATTTGAATTAGAAAGTTATTTATTGATTAAGATGTATCGATTAAGGATTTTTTTTTTTGCACCCGACGTTACTGTTTTCATTTCTGATTAATCCAAGTGCTCCTTCTACACTTAATCAGTGAGTTGAAGATTTAATGCCTCAGAATAGTAAATGATTTTACCCCTAGTCAAATTTTCTGGTTTACAGAGTGTCCCTGTCTTTTGTTTCATGGTTCACCACGGCTTTGTGTACGACTTGTTTTTTTGTTTTTTTTAAGGTTGTGCTTTTATGACGTGTGCATGTGTATACTATTTTTTGCAAACTTAAGTTCGACCGTTCTTTTGCAATTGCGAGGCAAACCTCGATTCCAGAGCCCAGCAGGGCGTACAGCCTTACCTTGATAGGAAATATGTGTAAACCAACCACTTCTGACCCTGAGCTAATCTATGCCAAGTATTGTGTAATGTCTGGACTTGCTTCTTTATTTCGACATCAGCCAGCTGGGTTGCACTCTCCGCGGTTTCATCTTGGATCCCCTGCGGCCTCTGTCGGCGAGGGCGTAGGTGTTGCACCGCCACCTCTGGCGAACCTGAGGGACCTCAGGTCCAGTAGCTTGTCCCCCCTTTGCTCCTGGGGTGGCTCCTTGCGCACGCCAAGCCGCACCTCGCCGAGGAAGACAACCAGTGATGCGAGGAGCCCAGCGGCCAGGATGCTCAGCGGCCCCAGGATTTGGTGTACGCCGAGGGGATCCGGTTGGTTCGACCGTCGATTTTCCTTTCGGTATATGTCGAACTGGGCCAAGATGCATCGCACTTAAATTATTAGAGGTCTGTTTTAGGTCTGACCTTTGGTGCATTCATCTTTGAGTACCAATGATCTAACTTCGTCACAACTCTGCGATCAAGCCTCTTTGAACATTAGGACGGGTTGCACCACTCACCTTCCTGTGTAGGTTTCTTCGGTGGTATACTCCCCACGTTTTCGCCAGCCCCGACTGCAAGACGACTGCCGTGATGCGGTTCAGCGCCGCCATGATAGGCGAGTCCCTCGCGATCATGGCGCTGATGGGGTAGGTCGCCAACGGCTCGTCATGGTGTTTGAGGAGGGACTTCCCATCTTCGTCAACCAGGATGATGTGTTTAAAGCACCTGTGCATTCACAACATTGGCTTTGCTTTTCACCGAACTTATCCTCGTCCTACACGCGGAGTCTCTTACCAGTACGTCCATGCTGTCATGATGAGGGCCGAGTCGGTCATGTCACGCATGAACTCTGAGGAGCAGTTCAACGGTCCGTTGCAAATCTCAACAAGGGCCAACAGTTTATCGAGTTTGGGATATTCCTTCATCAGGGGCTTTGACTCAGCAGACACCAGAAGGACCCGCTGTAAGAGAAACAAAAGCATTTTGCGTAAGTGGACGGTTTCGCTGGGATATATCAAAAGATTCCTTCACCTTTACGTCGTCTAGTTCGGTCGGTCCTGGTTCTTCCAGGGCGTGGACGTTTGCCATGGCCAGTGCTGCTCGGTAGGCCGGGTTGAAGTGCAGACAGAAGAGGGTCCACAGAAAGACGTAGAGGGTGGTGCGTCCGGGGTCCGTGTGTGGGACGGGGTTGCCCTCCCAGAGTACGCCCGCCGCGGTCATTGTGTTGGCCACGAAGCCCCGGCTGTTGGAGTGCTGCATGGCCATTACTGTGAGAGAAAGACGAGTAGGTTAGAGTTCAGACTTGTATTTCTGCGTCAGTACTCGACTTCACGCTTACCCACCACGACCAGGAGGCCAACGAGGCTGGCCCACACCTTTACCGATATCACTCGAAAAGGGTACTGCCACCTCGGTAGCCTCCGGTACCGGAGCGTGTAGCATAGAACCATGTTGTAGGAGTACGGAGTGCTGTAGGTTAGCAGTCCACGTGTTTTAAGGCTCGGGTACAGACCCCCGAACACAATGTCAGCCGCTCCGGTCTCTACCAGTTGTGGGGTCTGTGGTGTCAAGAGAAAAGGTCGTCTGTGTCCAGTTAACCTGTCACAGGCTTTGCACTGAGTGTCTACGTAATCGTACGACGTACAAGAAGGGACAACCGTTAAAGTATCGATGTGTGGCTTGACTTACATAGTGGTACCAACTGCTAAAATTTGTTAGTGCACAACCATATCTGTTCTTCATAAATCTCTGTAAGTGTTAGCACAGCTAGTAAAAGTCTTAGGGGTTCTAATCTATTGAACGACGGTTGCCCTCTATAGCTTTCCTCTTTTTCTTAGTGCACACACTCACTAACTTTCACTTAACTTGTGTGCGTTTTCGAAGCTCCGCGACCTATTCCGGTCGTGTAGTATGTTGAGGCTGGCATTGCTGCCATGCGCGAAGAAGTGCGCTACTTCGAAATCTATCCCGTACACCTCTGAGGCGTGGGTGATGAAGACGAACGGTGGTGACGAGGTGTAGGCCATGTTGACGATGCAGCCGCGCAGGTTTGTGTGGTGTGAGGGCTTTTCTAGGGCCTCCAATGGCCTTGGGTCCGACGGCGTCCAGACGAGCTCCAGGGCCATGGGCGTCCAGCCCTCGTAGCAGCGGACCCCGGGACGCAGGGAGAGC